CACCCCAGCTTCACACCCATATAAGAGTGTTGGTACTACTATACTTTCATACATTCCCTTCTTTGCCTCCATAGATAACGTTTTTTGGCTCCACATATCCCTCCAAACTGCATTGAGGTATATGTTGTGTATCTTTATATGTGTATGCTTCTAGACTTGTATTCTGAGCACCTCTGCAAAAACAGTGATAATGTGCGAGTGTGGTGAAAGTGTTGAATGATGATGAAAGTATTTTCTTTTTGGGGATTTTCTTTCTTTTTTGGGTCACCCTGCCTCGGTGGGAGACGGCCGACTTGTTGGGAAAAAAAAAAAAAAAAAAAAAAAAAAATATACCTCAATGCACCACTCGCCTTTTTTCCCAAATCAATTCTATGATTGACCTCATCCTTCATAAATCCATCCGCCAACACGTCAACTCCCAAGTATCTGAAAACATTCACTTCTTCCATACTCCTCCCCAATTTGGTATCCAATTTTTCTTTATCTAAATCATTTGATACCCTCATCACCTTACTCTTTTCTATGTTCACTTTCAACTTTCTACCTTTACACACATTCCCAAACTCATCCACTAACCTTTGCAATTTTTCTTTAGAATCTCCCATAAGCACAGTATCATCAGCAAAATGTAACTGTGTCAATTCCCATTTTGAATTTGATTCCCCAAATTTAATCCCTCCCCTCTCCCGAACACCCCAGCATTTACTTCCTTTACAACCCCACCTATAAATATATTAAACAACCATGGTGACATTACACATCCCTGTCTAAGACCTACTTTTACCGGGAAGTAGTCTCCCTCTCTTCTACACACACTAACTGAGCCTCGCTATCCTCATAAAAACTGTTTACAGCATTTAATAACTTACCACCTATTCCATATACTTGCAACATCTGCCACATTGCTCCTCTATCCACTATATCATATGCCTTTTCTAAATCCATAAATGCAATAAAAACTTCCCTACCTTTATCTAAATACTGTTTCACATATATGCTTCAATGTAAACACTTGATCTACACATCCCCTACCCACTCTGAAACCTCCTTGCTCATCCGCAGTCCTCCATTCTGTCTTACCTCTAATTCTTTCAATTATAACCCTACTGTACACTTTTCCTGGTATACTCAGTAAACTTATTCCTCTATAATTTTTACAGTCTCTTTTGTCCCCTTTCCCTTTATATAAAGGGACTTTACATGCTCTCCGCCAATCCTAGGTACCTTCCCTCTTTCGTACATTTATTAAACAAAAGTACCAACCACTCCAACACTATATCCCCCCTTGCTTTTAACATTTCTGTCATGATCCCATCAGTTCCAGCTGCTTTACCCCCTTTCATTCTACGTAATGCCTCACGTACCTCCCCCACACTTACATTCTGCTCTTCTTCACTCCTAAAAGATGGTATACCTCCCTGACCAGTGCATGAAATTACTGCCTCTCTTTCTTCCTTTACATTTAAAAGTTCCTCAAAATATTCTCGCCATCTACGTAATACCTCCATCTCCCCATCTACTAACTCCCCTACTCTGTTTTTAACTGACAAATCCATACCTTCCCTAGGCTTTCTTAACTTGTTTAACTCCAAAACTTTTTCTTATTTTCATTAAAATTTCTTGACAGTGCCTCTCCCACTCTATCATCTGCTCTCCTTTTGCACTCTCTCACCACTCTCTTTACCTTTCTTTTACTCTCCATATACTCTGCTCTTCTTATAACACTTCTGCTTTGTAAAAACCTCTCATAAGCTACCTTTTTCTCTTTCGTCACACCCTTTACTTCATCATTCCACCAATCACTCCTCTTTCCTCCTGCCCCCACCCTCCTATAACCACAAACTTCTGCCCCACATTCTAATACTGCATTTTTAAAAACTATTCCAACCCTCTTCAACCCCCCCACTACTCATCTTTGCACTAGCCCACCTTTCTGCCAATAGTAGCTTATATCTCACCTGAACTTCCTCCTCCCTTAGTTTATACACTTTTACCTCCCTCTTACTTGTTGTTGCCACCTTCCTCTTTTCCCATCTACCTCTTACTCTAACTGTAGCTACAACTAAATAATGATCCGATATATCAGTTGCCCCTCTATAAACATGTACATCCTGGAGCCTACCCATCAACCTTTTATCCACCAATACATAATCTAATAAACTGCTTTCATTATGTGCTACATCATACCTTGTATATTTATTTATCCTCTTTTTCATAAAATATGTATTACTTATTACCAAATCTCTTTCTACACATAGATCAATTAAAGGCTCCCCATTTACATTTACCCCTGGCACCCCAAATTTACCTACTACTCCCTCTTTAACATTTTTACGCACTTTAGCATTGAAATCCCCACCCACCATTACTCACACTTGATTCAAAACTCCCCACGCATTCACTCAACATTTCCCAAAATCTCTCTCTCCTCTACACTTCTCTCTTCTCCAGGTGCATACACACTTATTATAACCCACTTTTCACATCCAATCTTTATTTTACTGTACATAATCCTTGAATTAATACATTTATAGTCCCTCTTTTCCTGCCATAGCTTATCCTTCAACATTATTGCTGCTACTTCGTTATCTCCAACTCTATTTGAAACCCCTGACCTAATCCCATTTATTCCTCTCCATTGAAACTCTCCCACCCCCTTCAGCTTTGTTTCACTTAAAGCCAGGACATCCAGCTTCTCATTCATAACATCCACATATACATGTATATATATGATATATGTACATGTATATGGTATATATTGATATCATGTGTATATGATATACGAGTTATTAAATGGAGAGTTAGAGGTATTGGGAAGATGGAGGGAATATTTTGAGGAATTGTTAAATGTTGTTGAAGATAGGGAAGCTGTGTTTTCGTGTATAGGGCAAGGAGGAATAACATCTTGTAGGAGTGAGGAAGAGCCAGTTGTGAGTGTGGGGGAAGTTCGTGAGGCAGTAGGTAGAATGAAAGGGGGTAAGGCAGCCGGGATTGATGGAATAAAGATAGAAATGTTAAAAGCAGGTGGGGATATAGTTTTGGAGTGGCTGGTGCTATTATTTAATAAATGTATGGAAGAGGGTAAGGTACCTAGGGATTGGCAGAGAGCGTGCATAGTTCCTTTGTATAAAGGCAAAGAGGACAAAAGAGTTCCAAAATTATTGGGGGATAAGTCTGTTGAGTATACCTGGTAAAGTGTATGGTAGTTATTATTGAAAGAATTAAGAGTAAGACGGAGAATAGGATAGCAGATGAACAAGGAGGCTTTAGGAAAGGTAGGGGGTGTGTGGACCAGGTGTTTACAGTGAAACATAAGTGAACAGTATTTAGATAAGGCTAAAGAGGTCTTTGTGGCATTTATGGATTTGGAAAAGGCGTATGACAGGGTGGATAGGCGGGCAATGTGGCAGATGTTGCAGGTGTATGGTGTAGGAGGTAGGTTACTGAAAGCAGTGAAGAGTTTTTACGAGGATAGTGAGGCTCATGTTAGAGTATGTAGGAAAGAGGGAAATTATTTCCCAGTAAAAGTAGGCCTAAGACAAGGATGTGTGATGTCACCATGGTTGTTTAATATATTTATAGATGGGGTTGTAAGAGAGGTAAATGCGAGGGTCTTTGCAAGAGGCGTGGAGTTAAAAGATAAAGAATCACACATAAAGTGGGAGTTGTCACAGTTGCTCTTTGCTGATGACTCTGTGCTCTTGGGAGATTCTGAAGAGAAGTTGCAGAGATTGGTGGATGAATTTGGTAGGGTGTGCAAAAGAAGAAAATTAAAAGTGAATACAGGAAAGAGTAAGGTTATGAGGATAACAAAAATATTAGGTGATGAAAGATTGGATATCAGATTGGAGGGAGAGAGTATGGAGGAGGTGAATGTATTCAGATATTTGGGAGTGGACGTGTCAGCGGATGGGTCTATGAAAGATGAGGTGAATCATAGAATTGATGAGGGGAAAAGGGTGAGTGGTGCACTTAGGAGTCTGTGGAGACAAAGAACTTTGTTCTTGGAGGCAAAGAGGGGAATGTATGAGAGTATAGTTTTACCAACGCTCTTATATGGGTGTGAAGCATGGGTGATGAATGTTGCAGCGAGGAGAAGGCTGGAGGCAGTGGAGATGTCATGTCTGAGGGCAATGTGTGGTGTGAATATAATGCAGAGAATTCGTAGTTTGGAAGTTAGGAGGAGGTGTGGGATTACCAAAGCTGTTGTCCAGAGGGCTGAGGAAGGGTTGTTGAGGTGGTTCGGACATGTAGAGAGAATTGAGCGAAACAGTGACTTCGAGAGTGTATCAGTCTGTAGTGGAAGGAAGGCGGGGTAGGGGTCGGCCTAGGAAAGGTTGGAGCAAGGGGGTAAAGGAGGTTTTGTGTGCGAGGGGCTTGGACTTCCAGCAGGCATGCGTGAGCGTGTTTGATAGGAGTGAATGGAGACAAATGGTTTTTAATACTTGACGTGCTGTTGGAGTGTGAACAGGGCAACATTTATGAAGGGGTTCAGGGAAACCGGCAGGCCGGACTCGAGTCCTGGAGATGGGAAGTACAGTGCCTGCACTCTGAAGGAGGGGTGTTAATGTTGCAGTTTAAAAACTGTAGTGTAAAGCACCCTTCTGGCAAGACAGTGATGGAGTAAATGATGGTGAAAGTTTTTCTTTTTCGGGCCACCCTGCCTTGGTGGGAATCGGCAAATACTTTTGGGACTTAACGGGCTGTTTGAGTGTGAGCATGGTAACATTTTATGAAAGGATTCAGGAAAACCAGTTAGCCAGACTTGAGTCCTGGAGGTGGGATATATAGCACCTGCACTCTTGAGGGAGGGGTGGGGGTATTTGCAGTTTGGACTGGCATCTGAGCTGTAGTATCAGTGTACCTCTTGCAAGACAGTGATGGAGTGAATCATGGTGAAAGTTTTTTTTTCGTGTCACCCTACTTCGGTGAGAGATGGCCAATGCATTAAAAAAAAAAGTTCTTGTATAAAAACATTAAATGTCATTCTTTTATTACAGGTTTGAAGCAAGCATTAGCAACAGTCAATGACTATGCACCTCTTATGAAGGATTTCCCATTAAATGATCTTTTGGCAGCCACAGAGTTAGAGAAAATTCGCTCTGCAGTACAAGCTATCTTTAACCACCTTAGGAAGATTAGATCAACAAAATATCCTATTCAGAGAGCTTTAAGACTGGTGGAGGCTATATCAAGAGACTTGTCTTCACAGATCCTCAAGGTTAGTTAGCATTGTCTTTAAAATAAATATAATTTTTATTACAGGCACAATATTAATAGACTTAAAATATTGATGGTAGCATTAAAAAGAAAGATTGATTAATCATATAAACCTGCACTTATGAATACTATAGTTGAAGTTAATAGCCAAGTTATTTCATGCAGATATATTACATGGAAATCATACATTAAAATCACATCTGTAAAGAGCATTTTATCTTTTCTTGTGTTGGAAGATTACTTAATATGTTACTTGTATTAATCACGCAGGTTCTTGGGACTCGCCGTCTCATGCACATTGCATTTGAGGAGTTTGAAAAAGTGATGAGTCAGTGTTTTGACGTGTTCATTACTTGGGATGACGAATATGAAAAACTTCAGGGTCTTCTTCGGTATGCATTCATTTGTCACCTTTTCTTCTCCTATTGATGAAGATTAATGACTGTATTCCATCCACTTCTCTAAGTTTTGTATTAGAAGGTGCTACAACAATTAAAAATAACTTTAGTGTAAAATACAAGTTAAAAACTTGAATGTGACTTCCTGTAGTGGAGGGAAAATGATTAAAGATAGTGATTTTCATTATGTACTTCATCTTTACAGAGATATTGTGAAGAAGAAGAGAGATGAACAGCTGAAGATGGTATGGCGAGTATCTCCTGCACATAAAAGGTTGCAGTTGCGTATGGAACAAATGCGCAAATTTCGTCGTCAGCATGAACAGCTACGAACTGTCATAGTGAGGGTTCTTCGGCCAACTGTGGTCAAGACGACAACTTTGGCAGATGGTGATACAGCAGAACTCAAACCAGAGATGGATGCAGCTGATTTAAATGCCATTGAGGAGGTATGAGGGTATATTTCTTGTGATATTTTTTCATATCAATTTTTCAGTGCTTCAGTTTAGCTGGATGCTGTCAGTAAATACAGTATTGTATGTACAGTCCAGCACTGTGTGTTAAGTAGGAAATACATTATTCTTTCTTCAAATGGGCTCCAATTTCTTGTAAATAGGTGGTTGTAGGTTTGATGACCTAAGATATGTGTGGTAATCTTTTGCTTGGAATTTCTCAAGTTCTCCCATATTTTTCTAATAAGCATTAAAATTCAAGTTATGTATTTGAAGAAATGCCAAATTCGTAATTTTCAGAATGAAATGGAATGATTTCAGAAGTTAAAAGTATTGGATATAACCCTCATTCTGAATTTTCTTAATGAAAGCAAAAATATTTATGTATTATAAAATTTTATTTTTGGAATAAAATAGATTCCCAGGCTTAGGAATTTAGAATAAGTGCAGTTGTAAATTATGTTTCAATTAAGAAAAATATTGTATCCAATTAAGAAAGACTGAATGAGAAATTTCCTATATTTTTTCTCTCCATAGTTTCAGCCCTCCTCCCCCTCCCCAGCATGGATTAGTTTGAATAAGGTAAACATTATATATACAGTGATCCCTCAATTATCGTTCTTAATCCGTTCCTGGAAGTGGGACTATTATCGAAATAGATGATTTTCGAATCAATTTTCCCCATAAGAAATAATGTAAATCCAATTAATTCGTTCCAAACACCCAGAAGTATCAACAACAGTTTTTTTTTTTTTACCTAAGATAGATTTACATGCACAAAAGAATGAACATTCAACATGACAGTTACCTTTATTGAAGGCTGTTGTTGATGACTGGAAGACAGGGAGGAGGAGAGAGGGAAGAGAGGTTATTGTTTGGAAAGGGAATCCCCCTCCATAAGGACTCTAGGTCACTTCAGGGTCACTTCCCTAGCATAAATATAGATTTACATGCAGAAAAAATGCCAAGTAAATGTAAAGCACTAATAAAATGTATAAATGAACATTGGTAATAGGGGTAGTTGATGAGTGGAACGGTCTGCCTAGTAGGGTGATCCAAGCTAAAACATTGGGTAGTTTCAAATTTAGGTTGGATAAATACACGAGTGAGAGGGGTTGGATTTGAGTCGGACTTGCACCTGAGCTTATTGCTTGGGTAGCATTTGTTCTGTTAGTGGGTTGGATTTGTGAAGGACCAGCCTAGTATGGGCCAACAGGGTTATTGCAGTGTTCCTCCTTTCTTATATTCTAAAAGCTATGGCTTGGGTAGTTTCAAATTTAGGTTGGATAAATACACGAGAGAGAGGGGTTGGATTTGGGTCAGACTTGCACCTGAGCTTATTGCTTGGGTAGCATTTGTTCTGTTAGTGGGTTGGATTTGTGAAGGACTGGCCTAGTATAGGCCAGTAGGCCTACTGCAGTGTTCCTCCTTTCTTATGTTCTTATTGGAGACTTGTTTGTGTGAGGGAGGGATGGCAAGTTTATTGTTGGAGAATGACAATGATATCAACTCTACGGCTTATTTATCTATCACAATTCACCTAATATGACATAATAAACAATATTAATAACATAGAAACATGGAATATACTCTAGAATGAATAAAATAAGTCGTTATGTATGTCACGAGAGGTGTTGTGTTGTTGTTGGGTATATAAGGGCCGCTGAGAGTAAGCCGTCCATAATGGTGAAGCAGCAGCTGAGGCGGTGGTGTTTTCTGTAGCCCTATATAACTCCAACAACATTGGAGGAGTTGGTAGAATCGCTGAATCACTAAAGAAGGAACCCTCTACCACCATCACTACGACCTTCTACCACTATTACAACTGTTACCACCATCACTATGACCTTCTACCACCATCACTACCACCATCAACCACTATCACAACTGCTTCCACTCTACCACCACCACCTTTGTATTTTTCTACAAACTTTTTCATAAATTATGTGTGTTTCTCACATTCTTTACCAAAGGGCTGGCACTAGAAGCTTTCTTTGGAGCCATGGTAGCTTATTTAGCACTTGCAAGCACTAAAATCGATGGAATATTATGAAATATTTCGTATGAGCATGTGAGGGGACCGTCGCTCACTGGTAAACAATGGTACACTGGCTGGGAAGGCAGGCCCAGGCGGCTCAGAGCGTGAGTACGTGTCCCGGATGAAGGACGATTAGCGAGTTAACGGACCATTTGCGAGCCAATGTTTAGACAAAATAACGGGACTATTTCCGAAATGGAAGACTTTCAGGCCGGACGATTATTGAGGGACCACTGTATGTATTTTTTTTTTTTCAACAAGTCGGCCGTCTCCCACCTAGGCAGGGTGGCCCAAAAAAGAAAAAATCCCCAAAAAAGAAAATACTTTCATCATTCAACACTTTCACCTCACTCACATATAATCACTGTTTTTGCAGAGGTGCTCAGAATACAACAGTTTAGAAGCATATACGCACAAAGATACACAACATATCCCTCCAAATTGCCAATATCCCAAACCCCCTCCTTTAAAGTGCAGGCATTGTACTTCCCATTTCCAGGACTAGAGTCCGGCTATATAAAAATAACCGGTTTCCCTGAATCCCTTCACTAAACATTACCCTGCTCACACTCCACCAGCTCGTCAGGTCCCAAATACCATTCGTTTCTATTCACTCCTATCTAACACGCTCATGCACGCTTGCTGGAAGTCCAAGCCCCTCACCCACAAAACCTCCTTTACCCCCTCCCTCCAACCTATTCAAGGACTACCCCTACCCCACCTTCCTTCCCCTACAGATTTATACGCTCTCCATGTCATTCTACTTTGATCCATTCTCTCTAAATGACCAAACTACCTCAACAACCCCTCTTCATCCCTCTGACTAATACTTCCATCAACTCCACACCTCCTAATTTCCGAATTTTCTGCATAGTATTTGCACCACACATTGCCCTTAGAACATCACTGCCTCCAACCGCCTCCTCTCTGCAGCATTTACAACCCAAGCTTCACACCCATATAAGAGTGTTGGTACCACTATACTTTCAAACATTCCCTTCTTTGCCTCCATAGATAGTCTTTTGTCTCCACATATACCTCAATGCACCACTCACCTTTTTTCCTTCATCAATTCTTTGGTTAACCTCATCCTTCATATATCCATCTGGTGACACATCAACTCCCAAATATCTGAAAACATTCACTTCTTCCATACTTCTCCTCTCCAATTTGATATCCAATTTTTCTTTATCTAAATCATTTGATACCCTCATCACCTTGCTCTTTTCTGTGTTCACTTTCAACTTTCTACCTTTACACACCCTCCCTAACTCGTCCACTAAACTTTGCAACTTTTCTTTAGAATTTTCCATAAGCACAGTATCATCAGCACAAAGTAACTGTGTCAATTCCCATTTTGTATTTGATTCCCCATAATTTAATCCCACCCCTCTCCCGAACACCCTAGCATTTACTTCTTTTACAACCCCACCTATAAATATACTGAACAACCATGGTGACATTACACATCCCTGTCTAAGACCCACCTTTACTGGGAGGTATTCTCCCTCTTGCACACACCCTAACCTGAGCCTCACTATCCTCATAAAAGCTCTTTACAGCATTTAGTAACTTAATACGTATTCCATATACTTGCAACATCTGCCACATTGCTCCCCTATCCACTCTATCATATGCCTTTTCTAAATCATAAATGCAATGAAAACTTCCCTACCTTTATCAAAATACTGTTCACATATATGCTTCAATGTAAACACTTGATCTACACATCCCCTACACACACTAAAACCTCCTTGCTCATCCGTAATCCTACATTCTGTTTTGCCTCTAATTCTTTCAACAATAACCCTACCGTACACTTTTCTTGGTAATCTCAGTAAACTTGTTCCTCTATAATTTTTACAATCTCTTTTGTCCCCCTTCCCTTTTTTTTTTCTCAACAAGTCGGCCGTCTCCCACCGAGGCAGGGTGACCCAAAAAAAAAAAAAAAAAAGAAAGAAAATCCCCAAAAAGAAAATACTTTCATCATCATTCAACACTTTCACCACACTCGCACATTATCACTGTTTTTGCAGAGGTGCTCAGAATACAACAGTTTAGAAGCATACACATATAAAGATACACAACATATCCCTCCAAACTGCCAATATCCCAAACCCCTCCTTTAAAGTGCAGGCATTGTACTTCCCATTTCCAGGACTCAAGTCCGACTATATGAAAATAACCGGTTTCCCTGAATCCCTTCACTAAATATTACCCTGCTCACACTCCAACAGATCGTCAGGTCCCAAGTACCATTCGTCTCCATTCACTCCTATCTAACACGCTCACGCACGCTTGCTGGAAGTCCAAGCCCCTTGCCCACAAAACCTCCTTTACCCCCTCTCTCCAACCCTTTCGAGGACAACCCCTACCCCGCCTTCCTTCCCCTATAGATTTATATGCTTTCCATGTCATTCTACTTTGATCCATTCTCTCTAAATGACCAAACCACCTCAACAACCCCTCTTCTGCCCTCTGACTAATACTTTTATTAACTCCACACCTTTTCCTAATTTCCACACTCCGAATTTTCTGCATAATATTTACACCACACATTGCCCTTAACCCTTTCAGGGTCCGTCCCGTAGATCTACGGCTTTACGTTCAGGGTCCAAACCGTAGATCTACGCCATGAGCTCAGCTCACTCTGATAAACTGTGAGTGGTACATTTGGGCCTAGATATGAGAGAATACATCTATGTGGTATGTGTGCACCACATAAAACAGATCCTGCAGCACACTGTGTATAATGAGAGAAAAAAATGAAATCATGATTTTTCGATTAAAACAGCAACTTTGCAGTGTTTTTTCATATGTTTTTTATAGTTGTATTTTGCGATTTCTTGGTCTCATTTGATAGAATGGAAGACATATTACAGAAATAGAGATGATTTTTATTGGTTTTAGCACTGGAAATGGCTTGAAACTGAGCTCAAAGTAGCGGAAATGTTAAATTTTTGCTGATATTCAAGAGTAAACAAACGACCTCACACGTCTAATACACGTCAGCTGGTGGGTCTAATATACATTCACAAATATGGTGATGATATTTATACAATTATTGCAGTATTGCATAACAGTAAATCTTCTATTTTTTGGTGTGAATAAAAATTCATTATGTGAATAAAAAATCAAAGTGGAATTTATTTGTAAAGCCTCAAAACAACTAATGAACAGAGGAAATGTTAGTTTAGTGCCAGGAATGCCTACATTGTTCATTCTGGACCCTATTTTGAAATTGGAATATTTTGAACTTTGTGTTAAATTGGCCAAATTAACAATTTCCGATCACTTTATTTTGTAGTTGAAACAGTTGACTTGGCGATTTCTTGTGCTCAATCGATAGAATAGAAATAATACTAGTGAAATAGCTAAGAATTTGGTTGATTGGAATAATGTAATTGGCCTAAAATGGGAGTCAAAGTCGGCAAAATCGCCGATTCGTAAATATCGCTGACACATCAAAATTCGCGAGAGCATAATTTCGTCAATTTTCCACCAAATTTCGTACTTTGTTTTATTACCTTCACAAAAAGATTCTCTACGATTTCATAAGAAAAAATAAAAAAATTTTTTTTTGGAAAATTCTTGGACACTGGTGCGTGACTCCAGATTTGGGCCTTGGACCCTGAAAGGGTTAAACAGGACATCTCCACTGCCTCCAACCGTCTCCTCGCTGCTGCATTTACCACCCAAGCTTCACACCCATATAAGAGTGTTGGTACTACTATACTTTCATACATTCCCTTCTTTGCCTCCATAGATAACGTTTTTTGACTCCACATGTACCTCAACGCACCACTCACCTTTTTTCCCTCATCAATTCTATGATTAACCTCATCCTTCATAAATCCATCCGCCGACACGTCAACTCCCAAGTATCTGAAAACATTCACTTCTTCCATACTCCTCCTCCCCAATTATACATGCTCTCTGCCAATCCCTAGGTACCTTCCCCTCTTTCATACGTTTATTAAACAAAAATACCAACCACTCCAACACTATATCTCCCCCCTGCTTTTAACATTTCTGTCATGATCCTGTCAGTTCCAGCTGTCTTACCCCCTTTCATTTTACGTAATGTGTCACATACCTCCCCCACACTCACATCCTGCTTTTCTTCACTCCTAAAAGATGGTATACCTCCCTGGCCACTGCATGAAATTACCCCCTCCCTTTCTTCGTTGACATTTAAAAGTTCTTCAAAATATTCCTGCCATCTACCCGATACCTCCATCTCCCCATCTACTAACTCCCCTACTGTTTTTAACTGGCAAATCCATTTGTTCCCTAGGCTTTTTTTTGAATGCCAGTCTTTCCACATAAAATATTTTCATTCCCTTTGCTCACTAATTATAGTTGCTTTGTTCATACAAAAAAATTCACACACAACTTGTTTTTAATGATGTGCAGTCGTATCTTCATTGAAAATACCACTTTTTTACCCCCCCCCCCCTGCATACTTAAGTGGATGGGGCTGCCTTGATGCTCCAAATCCACGTAATTCATTCTACCCTTTCTCTCTATTAAACTTTTACCCCCTATTCCAAGATAGGATGACTTCTACAATTTAGTGCCACACTCTGATAATTTGATTACATTAATAATGTTATTTGTTGTGTACTTTGTCAGGTATAGTGGCTTAATATCTGAACATAATAGGTACATGAATTACCTGTATTTCACTGACTGATTACATCAAATTGTGCTGCTGGTCAAAGGTGGTGTCCAATGGTTGCCCTAGGTTAGTAGAGGGCTTAATACATGTGATGATGAAACAAATAACTCTCCTATAAATCCTTTTATCTTAATTCCTTATTCTGTGTCTTTATAATTCAAAAAACTGCTTTTTATCTTTGATTCACTTATCATTTTTTTATTAACCAGGTTTTTCACAATAAAGCCAAGTACTCTTTATGAAAACTTTTATTGCACATTTGACTCTGAGGTTTCCATTTACAAAGCTTTCAAGATCAGCAGATTACTTTATCTGTATTGTTATTTGATTTCAGCTTACTCATTTGTCACCCTTTTTCAAGATAACTTTAGGACATCCATCTAATGTCTTATGTAATATGGATTATTATATCTAAAGGAAACGCTCATGAGCCTAACTTTTATCTGCATCAATCATATTAGCGTTCTACATTATGCCTTAGCAAATCATTAACTAAAGTAACTATAGTCTTTTATTTTTTCAGGTTAATCTAGCCTATGAAAATGTTAAAGAAGTTGACGGACTTGATATTAGCAAAGAGGGTACAGAAATGTGGGAAGCGGCTCTGAAGCGTTACGATGAGCGCATTGACCGTGTAGAGGTAAATGTGATGTATTAAATAAATCATTGCTCTATGGTAACATTTTGACCTTTGTGAATGGCTATTTTAAATAATAGGTGTTCAAGTATTCAGCAGGTGTGTGTGTGTGTTTGTGTTTTTGAATGGAGTAAGTGGAGATGAGTGGTTTTGTAGCTTTATGTAATGTTGGAGTGTGAGCAAGAAATTCAGGAAAACAGGTTATCTGGACTTAGTCTTTGAAGTGGGAAGTATAGTGCCCTAACTGAAGGAAGGGTTCAAGGGATGATATTGCAGTTCAGAGGATCATTTGAATTGTGATGTCTTTTCATTTCTAGCAGGACAGCTATTGAATGAATGAAGATAAGAGACAGGTAGTGTGTTTAAAAGAATTTGTACATTGCCCTTTACACTACATAAGATTACACATGGCGAAGCATTTCTGTAATACTGACTTGAGGTGTAGTGAGTGATGAAATGTTTATAATTATGACATTGCTTCTGGTTTGGGTTTAAGTGATAATTGCTCTGTATGAAATAGCTTTATTATTTAACTAATTATGAATGCATTCTTTTAATTAGTAAATTAAGAGAACATTCATGTTCTTGATACTTTGCCAATTTTTTTTTTTTTTTAACACTGGCTATCTCCCACTGAAGCAGGGTGACTCAGAAAAAGAAATGCCATCACCATCATTCACACATAATCACTGTCTTTGCAGAGGCATGCAGATATGACAGTTTGTCACTCCAAACGGCAAATATCCCAAACCCCTCCTTTAACCCTTTGAGGGTTTCGGCTGTACTAGTATGGCTTACAACCCAGGGTTTTTGACGTACTAGTACGCCTAAATTCTAGCGCCTTCAAATCTAGTGGGAGAAAGCTGGTAGGCCTACATATGAAAGAATGGGTCTATGTGGTCAGTGTGCACAGTATAAAAAAAATCCTGCAGCATACAGTGCATAATAAGAAAAAAAAAACTTTAACCGTTTTTTTGGAATAAAACAGCGACTTTGCACTGTATTTTCGTATGGTATTTATTGTTGTATTCTAGTTTTCTTGGTCTCATTTTATAGAATGGAAGACATATTACAGAAATTGAGATGATTTTGACTGGTTTTACAATGAAAAGTACTTTGAAATTGAGCTCAAAGTAGCAGAAATGTTCGATTTTTACCTAAGTTCAAAAGTAAATAAATCATGCCAAGCGTCCAATACACACTTTTGCAAGTGCGCCAGTATTATTTATACCATTTTTTACACTAATGCAGTAGTCTGCATAACAGTAAATCTTCTATTTTTTGTGAGAATAAAAATTCAAAGTGGAAAGCAAAAGAATGTAAGAGGGGCCTTCAAACATGACTAATGAACAAAGGAAATGTCATTTTAGTGCCAGGAATGTCTTTCTTGTTTATTCTGGACCCTATTTGGAAATTGGCATATTTTGAAATTTGTGTGAAATTGGCAAAATTGCTAAATTCTGACCACTGTACTGGATAGTTGAAATTGGTAAATGGGTGGTTTCTTGCACTCATTCGATAGAAAAAATAGAGTTCTAGCGAAATATTCATGTTTTTTGTCGACTAGTGCAGTAGAATTGGCCGAAAATGGGGCTCAAAGTGGGCAAAATCGCCGATGCGTAAACATCGCCGAGACCGCTAGCTTTGCGAGAGCATAATTCCGTAAGTTTTCCATCAAATTTCATAATTTTGGTGTCATTATGATCGGGAAAAGATTCTTTATCTTTTCATAAGAATTTTTTTTTTTTTTTTTTTTTTAAATTTGGCCGACCCTGAGAACGAGTCTCAGAGAGGGCCTGTCGACCCTCAAAGGGTTAAAGTGTAGGCATTGTGCTCGCCACCCCCAGGACTCGAGTCCAGCTAACCAGTTTCCCTAAATCCCTTCACAAAATATTACCCTTCTCACACTCCAACTGCTTATCAAAACCCTAAAACCATTCATCTCCACTCCTATCTAGTGCATGCCTGCTGTATATCCAAGCCTCTTTCACACAACTTCTCTTACTCCCTCCCTGCATCCTATCCTAGGATGGTCCCTACTTCTCCTTCCCTCCACTACAGATTTACACTGTCATCCTATTTTGCTCTATCATCGATGTGCTAATAAAAAATAAAATCTCTAAATGACCAAACCACCTCAACAACCCCTCCTCAACCCTCTGAATGATACTTTTAGTAACTGCATACCTCCTAATTTTCACACAACGAATTTTCCACACAATATTTATGTCACACTTTGCCCTTAGACACATCTCCACTGCCTCTAGCCTCGTTTTTGTTGTAACATTCAGAACCCATGCTCCACACCCATATAAGAGTGTTGGTACCACTATACTCTCGTACATTCTCTTTTCTGCCTCTATGGATAATTTTTTGTCTGCGCAGATACTTCAATGCGTCACCCACCTTTTTTTCCCTTTATCAGCTCTATGATTTACCTTGTCTTTCATAACCCCATCTGCCAGCAAGTCTACTCCCAAATATCTGAACACATTCACTTCTTCCATACTCCCTCCCTCCAATCTGATATCTAATTTGACATCCTCATCACATTAATCTTATTTATGTTCACTTTCAACTCTGTCCTTACACACACCCTCAAACTCGTCCACAATCTTTGCAACTTCTCTTCAGGATTTCCCAAAAGCGCAGTATCATCAGCAAAAAATAACTGTGTCAACTCCCATAATTTAATCCCACCCCTCTCCCCACCCTAGCATTTTTCTCTTACAACCCCACCTACAAATGTTAAATAATGACAGTGACATTATGCATCCTTGTCTAAGACCTACTTTTACTGGAAAGTAATCTCCCTCTCCTACACACCCTAACTTGAGCCTCACTATCCCATAAAAACCTTTTATAGCATTTAGTAACTTACCACCTATTCCATGCACTTGCAACATCTACCACATTACTCTCCTATCCACCCTGTCATAAGCCTTTTCTAAATCCATAATGTACAGTCATGTAATTCACTAAGGTTTACTGATTAAAGTTAAGTAATTATGTAAGAAGCATTGTTTGGTTTCATATACATCCTAGAAGTTGCTGAGTAGACAATATCTGTTTAAATCTCAGGAAACAGCTATTGGCTGTATAGTGGTGAATATATTTTTATTTGGGATGGTTGTTCTACCTTGGTGGGAGATGGCAAGAGTTAAAAAAAAAAATTGTCATTGAAAATTGAACATGAATACTTTTCACTTTTAATCAAATTTTATTACTCAGACTCGCATCACTGCTCGCCTGAGAGACCAGTTGGGTACAGCCAAGAATGCCAATGAGATGTTCCGCATATTTTCCCGTTTTAACGCCTTGTTTGTGCGTCCTCACATTCGAGGTGCCATTAGAGAATATCAGACTCAGCTCATTCAGCGAGTGAAGGATGACATTGAGAGCCTTCATGAAAAGTTTAAGGTAGATATTACATTATTGTATTGTGATATTAGTATGTCACAGGTAAAAAAAAAATATTGGCTGTTGTAAATGTCAGAATTTAACTTGTGTACTAAATCTAGGTTTTTCATACAGTTTAGGTTGTAATTGCATTTGTTGGCATTAAATGTGTGTATAATTAATAGTTTATTTTCAGGTTCAGTATCCTCAAAGCAAATCATGTCGAATGAGTCATGTTCGAGACATTCCTCCTGTATCGGGCTCCATTATATGGGCCAAACAGATAGATCGTCAACTAACTGCTTACATGAGGAGAGTAGAGGATGTTCTAGGCAAGGGATGGGAGAGCCATGTTGAAGGACAGAAGCTTAAAGGAGATGGAGATTCTTTCAGGCTCAAGTTGAATACTCAAGATATATTTGATGACTGGGCAAGAAAGGTAAGTTTCATGGTAATAAAATTACATACGTCTTGTGCTATCTTAGAGCCTTGTTTCATTACCATCATGAAAGGGATGTGGCAGGTATACAATATGAAATTGATTTTCTTTTACAGTTCAATAATAAAGTAAGTAAACATTTATAAAAATTTTATATATTGTTGACTTTTACTTAGTACTAATCTAAAAGCTTCATTCTCTTGAATACCTCAATTCTTTCAGGTTCAGCAGCGCAATTTGGGTGTCTCAGGCCGCATCTTTGCAATAGAAATGCATCGATCAAAGACTGGTAAAGGAAATGAGTGCAAATTAAAAGTAAATTTTCTGCCTGAAATCATCACACTTTCCAAGGAGGTGAGCAGTGAAGTTTAGAACATTTTCATGAAAATATGTAAGCTTGGGATCATGACAGAAATGTTAAAAGCAGGGGGGGATATAGTGTTGGAGTGGTTGGTACTTTTGTTTAATAAATGTATGAAAGAGGGGAAGGTACCTAGGGATTGGCAGAGAGCATGTATAGTCCCTTTATATAAAGGGAAAGGGGACAAAAGAGACTAAAAATTATAGAGGAATAAGCTTACTGAGTATACCAGGAAAAGTGTACGGTAGGGCTATAATTGAAAGAATTAGAGGTAAGACAGAATGTAGGATTGCGGATGAGCAAGGAGGTTTTAGAGTGGGTAGGGGATGTGTAGATCAGGTGTTTACATTGAAGCATATATGTGAACAGTATTTAGATAAAGATATGGAAGTTTTTATTGCATTTATGGATTTAGAAAAGGCATATGATAGAGTGGATAGAGGAGCAATGTGGCAGATGTTGCAAGTATATGGAATAGGTGGTAAGTTATTAAATGCTGTAAAGAGTTTTTATGAGGATAGTGAGGCTCAGGTTAGGGTGTGTAGAAGAGAGGGAGACTACTTCCCGGTAAAAGTAGGTCTTAGACAGGGATGTGTAATGTCACCATGGTTGTTTAATATATTTATAGATGGGGTTGTAAAGGAAGTAAATGCTAGGGTGTTTGGGAGAGGGGTGGGATTAAATTATGGGGAATCAAATTCAAAATGGGAATTGACACAGTTACTTTTTGCTGATGATACTGTGCTTATGGGAGATTCTAAAGAAAAATTGCAAAGGTTATTGGATGAGTTTGGGAATGTGTGTAAAGGTAGAAAGTTGAAAGTGAACATAGAAAAGAGTAAGGTGATGAGGGTGTCAAATGATTTAGATAAAGAAAAATTGGATATCAAATTGGGAGGAGGAGTATGGAAGAAGTGAATGTTTTCAGATACTTGGGAGTTGACGTGTTGGCGGATGGATTTATGAAGGATGAGGTTAATCATAGAATTGATGAGGGAAAAAAGGTGAGTGGTGCGTTGAGGTATATGTGGAGTCAAAAAGTGTTATCTATGGAGGCAAAGAAGGGAATGTATGAAAGTATAGTAGTACCAACACTCTTATATGGATGTGAAGCTTGGGTGGTAAATGCAGCAGTGAGGAGACGGTTGGAGGCAGTGGAGATGTCCTGTTTAAGGGCAATGTGTGGTGTAAATATTATGCAGAAAATTCGGAGTGTGGGAATTAGGAAAAGGTGTGGAGTTAATAAAAGTATTAGAGGGCAGAAGAGGGGTTGTTGAGGTGGTTTGGTCATTTAGAGAGAATGGATCAAAGTAGAATGACATGGAAAGCATATAAATCTATAGGGGAAGGAAGGCGGGGTAGGGGTCGTCCTCGAAAGGGTTGGAGAGAGGGGGTAAAGGAGGTTTTGTGGGCAAGGGGCTTGGACTTCCAGCAAGCGTGCGTGAGTGTGTTAGGAGTGAATGGAGACGAATGGTACTTGGGACCTGACGATCTGTTGGAGTGTGAGCAGGGTAATATTTAGTGAAGGGATTTCAGGGAAACCGGTTATTTTCATATAGTCGGACTTGAGTCCTGGAAATGGCAAGTACAATGCCTGCACTTTAAAGGAGGGGTTTGGGATATTGGCAGTTTGGAGGGATATGCTGTGTATCTTTATATGTGTATGCTTCTAAACTGTTGTATTCTGAGCACCTCTGCAAAAACAGTGATAATGTGCAAGTGTGGTGAAAGTGTTTAATGATGATGAAAGTATTTTCTTTTTGGGGATTTTCTTTCTTTTTTTGGGTCACCCTGCCTCGGTGGGAGACGGCCGACTTGTTGAAAAAAAAAAAAAAAAACTATTTTTTTATTTTTTTAAATTTCAGGTTCGGAACCTGAAAAATCTTGGCTTCAGGGTGCCGTTAGCTATTGTTAACAAAGCACATCAAGCCAATCAACTGTATCCATTTGCAATTTCCCTCATAGAGAGTGTTCGCACTTATGAAAGAACTTTGGAGAAGGTAAGGGCATAGATAGCCATTATTAATACTTAAAATTCATAATAGCTGCAGTACTCTCATTGCTTTTCAATAAATTTGGTAAATATTGAGACATGAATATATTGAGACATGAATATATTGACAACAACAAAAAATTTAAGTTGAGGGTACTGCAGACTCTAGTTATTTTTCATTGTAGAGAAAATCCACTTCAAATACAATGTTATTGTAAATGTTAGCTTCAAGTGAATTGAAGTGGTGTAATGAAGTTTACCCAGCTTGCTAATGCTGTAATAGATGCTGGCTAGTGTTTTTCTTTGATATTTGAAGTGGCTTTTTTTTTTTTTTTCTTTTTGCATCATGGGGCAGGCCTCTTGCTTTCTTACATTTAGATAATAGTTTTACAGGGTTATAGCTTATGGCTTTACAGGATATATAAAAATAGTGCTTTAAATTATACTAGATTAAAGAAGTTATTAACAGTTTGCATTAACTAAAATTTAGTAAGAAAATGACAAAAACGAATCTAGATACGTTTGGTGATATATGATTAGGATATTTTGGAATGGTATAGTGTGTTTACTAAGCGAATTACTTTACTTAACCCTCCCCTCCCCAAAACTTTTAGTTGTGAAAAAAGTCTTTTAAAATTTTATGCAACTAACTAGCCAAATCTGAAAACCAACGTTTATCTTGTTGGTAATGATTTTTGATGTTATGGTGGTACCACAGCTGTTGTCGCGGGGTGGACCACACAGCCCTGCCATCAAAGCGTCCTTGTTGGTATGTTCGTCTTGTCAGAATCTGTGTGGCTTCATCAGTGTAACTCTTGCCATAACCGCGCTCTCTCGTCCATCACAACACTTGACTGTATCCCAAACCTTTGCTGCACCTCACATGACACAAATTTTTACTGGAAATACTCTGTTTATTAATAATGAGATTAAAGGGTCACTAAATGATGAGCTCATTAATAATAAAAGCATGTTAAGAGCCTGTCAGACATGAATCACTGAAAGCTTGATAGAAGCTGCTGGGATGTCATGTGAGGGCAGAGGCAATAGTCTGATGTATTTCCACACTGATTTTGCTCTTTTTAACATCCCTCATATACACTTATTTCCCTGCTTATTATAGATCTATAAGCACAGACTTTTATATTTATTATATATATATAATATATATAATATATATATAATATTATATATTATATTTATATATATATTATATATATATATAATATATATTATATATATATATATATATAATATATATATATATATATTATATATATATATATTATATATATTTATATATCCAGATATGTATATGTATACTTAGTACAGTATATATATATTAAATTAAGTAGATATAAAAAAATTTAAAAATATTTTCTTGTATGCCTTGAGAGACTCAACATTCTATTTTGTTCTCAGTAAATTCACTGCGAGGCAGTTAATTGGTACAAGTATATACATTATACAAAAATTAAATCTTCATTTCTTGGATATAATTTAGTAAATGTAATAATTAGGAAATTGTTGACATCTGTGATGTGACTGCCTATCCCATGCTGAGGCTTTCCCTTTTGCTGTTGTCCTTGCTTAATTACCCCATGGCTGTGAGAAGTCTGTAATTAGTATCCAGTAGTATGCAATATTTTGACAGGTTATTAAAACAAATTTGCTTGTAAGTGCTTTGTTGGGTCCTGTAGATGATGTGATAAGTCAACCTTCTCTGAAAGCCTATTGATTGATGAATGTAAATAAATTGAAAAATTAACATTTGAATTTTGTTGTTTATCGTTTCGTCCCCCTCCTGTCTGTTATGGAGCTTGGTGGAGCACTGTTTGGTGGCTGCGCATGATGTGACGAGGATATTTGTTCAGTAACTTATGAAACTTTGTGTAAGATGTATTAAGACTTAATTGAGGTGATTTGCATGGTGGATTACTAACACTGTTAGGGGCGTGCATGCTGGATTTGTGTGGTTATAAATTTAGCCACAATGCCTTGCTAGTCTTCACTCAGATGGTGTACAATAAGAGGTTCAGGCCCGGAACAGTGGCGTGTGAACTGACATTAACATTCGTATATAATGACTAGTATTGGCTGGTTATTAGTTTTTATTGCTACTGCTTAACCAGCATGAGGTTTTAATGTGTTCAAAGAAAGGGTAAACCAGAACTAGAATTCATTGCCTTTAAATATACATTACTTGATTTAAGATAACACTAAGCATAGCTTCTTTTTTTGTAGGTAACCTTAAAGGTAGATTTTATGGACTGTTATGATATTGCTATTAAAGTTTGTTCTAATTCTTAGTTTGTCATATACTGTAAAGTAATTAATTATTTGTCGTTAATACTAGGATAATTAATTATTGACATAGAGAATTACATAGATTATGCCTTAATCGTTTTTTTATCAAGCAGGTTTTTCAAGTTTTGGCAATTATTTTCATAATTTTTTTCATAAATAACTCTATTCGTATAATTATTACAGATGGAAGACAAGACCAACATACTGCTGCTTGTAGCAGGAATGAGGAAGGAGGTTCAGGGATTGGTTTCAGAGGTAAATTAAAAATGCTATTGTAATACAATACCTTTACTTTTATACATTAATTATAAATTTTAGATTTAATGTAATCCAGTATTAAATATTAATTACAGAAATGGAATAGCAAAAGAGCACAGTATTTAAGTTGAAAATTGTTGATAGCATTGGTTTTTCCTTATAGGGTATGTCATTGGTTTGGGAGTCGTACAAATTGGACCCCTATGTACAACGTCTTGCAGAGTGTGTCTTCAGCTTCCAAGAGAAGGTGGGTTGGTTCAGAATATTAATGGTACTGCTTTCAGTGATCTTCCTTTAGTGTTGCATAACTTCAGTCTATAGCATAATTCTCAAATGAGCATCTAATTGAAAATGGGATGTGGCTTGATTTGGTTTTTCATATAGACCTTTCTCTCAGCAGTTTGGCAATTTGTATAATTTACTGATGTGTTTTGCATGGTGCATGTACTTGGTAAGAGTTCTGGATATTTTCATAACTACCAGTGTTCTGGTGTCTGTCGTTTTTTGTAATCTTTTCTATATGACTCCTTTCACGCCTTAGAAAGACATTGTTATTTATAATTTATGCAAAGATGCTTTACTTGCATCTAATGTATATTTATCCATATTCTTACTACTATTGTTGTTGGTTGTCTTTGTTGGTAGTGTACTCCTCCCTCCCTCTTTTTCCCTTCTGATTGCATCCTTTATCACTGTTTATATCTTTTTTAGTTCTCTATACCTTTTAGATCATATTAGTTGAATTTTGTTTGACTAATTACTTGTTGCTTTATCATATTTTGGTAGTTACCTCCCAGTCATGATTTTATCCTTCAGTATCCTTTGTCACATTTATAAATCTCTGATTCTTGAACTATCAGTCCTCTTGTCTCTTGTTAATTACCACTGCTACTTACCAGTCTTAGCTAACACCATCTTACTTCTTTTGTTGACAAGTAGACTTTTTCACTTTTTTCTGATTTCACTGTTTATTTGGTCACATTTTTTGAACTATATTCACTGTTTTTCTCATTACATTTCCAACACTGCCAACCCTTTCTTGTTTACTTGTTCACCACTACATTCAGTTTAATAACTTAGTGCTATTAAATTTGACACAACTTTAAATCCATAGGTGGATGACTTGCTTGTACTGGAAGAACAGCTAGATATTGATGTGAGGTCACTCGATACTTGCCAGTATGCACATTTCACATTTGCCGAGATTCTCAACAAGATCCAGAAAGCTGTAGACGACTTGTCATTGCATCAGTACTCCAACCTTCACATTTGGGTGCAGCGACTTGATGAACAGGTGAGTTTCTTTTTTAAATTGATAATTTGTAGTATACTGTGTTATATAGATAGTATAGCTTTGGAGATGGTAGCTTTGATTTTGAAGGCTGCCTTCCTGATTTGTATTCTGGGTACTCATGGAGGAGAGTGACTAGGTGCAAATCATTAAGTAATGCTCATTCAGGGAGGGAAGCATTACACCAATAATGAGTATAGATGAAAAAGACAGAGGTCTATTAACATTATATCAAGTAGCAAGACTTGCTGTTCTTTATTTACTTTTAAATAAATACAGAGGTGGATATTTTCTAAGCACTCTTGGCCTTGGATATTCAAATATGCTGACAGGTATGAGGGTAGGGAGTATTTTTGATGAAATACACTGAATATATTTAAATGACTATTTTTAAGGTAATTATGATAACCATTTGAATTTTCCTACATGTAGGTTGAGAAAAAGTTGGCAGGACGTCTTCAGGCTGGTATGCAGGCATGGACTTCAGCACTGCAGGGGCAGAGACAGAAAGATGAGGATATTGACATTCCTATGGATACTGATACACCAGACAAACCAACTCATAAACCAGGAGGAGATCCAAAGGTTAAATATTATTTGCTGCTTAAAATACCATTTTTTTTTTACTATATATATATATTTAAATATTTTTTTACATTAGTTAAGCAAGTTTGGTAAAAATTGGTTTGGATTTTTTAAGTCCCTATAATTTATATTTTTCTTGTACAGATTACTCAAGTTGTGCAAGAAGTTCGTATCACCAACCAGACAATGTACATGCATCCAACCATTGAAGAAGCACGTTATCAAATCATGCAGCAGTTTTTCAGTTGGCAAGCAATAGTGACCAGCCAAAATCGTATACAGAGTACACGCTACCAGGTATGGGAAATATTAAACTGCATTAGCGTACATGGATGCAAATAAGAGGAGAGGAAGGATAGGGAGGCTGTCATTCAAATGACTGGGCGAAGACATGTGAGACCTGAAGAGATAGCCTTTTCACGGACTCTAGTGAGAGGAAAGTGGAAGAAATTCCAGTTTTGACTGTGGTTGGGCAAGAGATGATATTCATGCTCACTTAAATTTTCTTTACCCATTTTATTACTAGCAAATATTCAGTACAAATTAATAAAGCTGTTAAGTTGTGATGGGTAGCTAGCAGGTTTTGTTACCAAGTCTGATGTGAATAGAGACAGTTGCAAAAGTTTTAACTAGTTCATCTCTTGATATTCATTAAAAATTCATTAAATATTTATTCAGTATTATGGTAAGTACATTATTGAAATTGCAAATTAATTCTCCATAGGTTGGTTTAGATCGCCCAACTACTCAGGTATACAGGAATTTGCTAACCAAGCTTCCTGATGAGCATGTATACATAAAAGCTGCTTATCATGCTGTTGACATGGTTGTATTTGAGGTGACCAACTATGTTAAAGAGTGGTTGCAGTATCAAGCACTCTGGGATTTGCAGCCTGACCATCTGTATGGTCAGCTTGGAGAAGATGTTGCCAAGTAAGTTTAGTATTGTGCCATAGCAATTGTGTATTTTTTTATTTTTGCTGTAGTGTGGAAGATAATGGACAGATCCTTATCAAGTCTGCTTCTTTCTTCCAACTTAGATAAAGCTCTGCATCAATCATTTTCATTATTTAGCTTAAACCAGTGGAAAACTAATTGATTGATTTGTGGCTTACCCTAGAGGGATAAGATGATAGTATATAAATCTTTGGTGGAATAGAAGGGTAGGGGCCTTCCTAGGAATGGTTGGAGGGAACTGGTAAAGGAATCTGATGAGTTTGAGGGGCTTGAGTATTTAGCAGGCATGGGTGAGTATATTAGATAAGTGAGAATTGAAGTGGTTTTTGGTGGATTTACTGTGGAAGTGAGAGCAAGGTAGGAATCCAGCACTTGAAAGGGGTGGAGATATTTGCAGTTTGGTGGGGTATCTGAACTGTAGTATTGGTGTACCTCTGGCAAGAGTGATAGAGTAAATGATGGTGAAAGTTTTTTTTTTTTTTCACTCTACCTCAGTGAGAGATGGCTAGTGTTAAAAAAAAATAAAAGTAATGCTGTATTGATCCCTAAGTAGGGTTCTGCAGTTTTGGGTCATTGTCTGTATCAGATATTGCCATTGAATGTTCAGAATCATGGGGTCAGTTTATATCCTGGCTTGTACTTAACCCTTCATACCAAATTGAATCTACATTGGAGTATTTTTCATCTTTATGCAAAAACCTATGAACTGACTGTGCACTTATTGCCCTTAAATATAGTAGGGTGGGTTACTCAAAATTTACTGAAAGAAAAAGTGATATACACTTTTTGCTGGAAGTTCACTGGCAAGCTCTTTCATGCATAGTATTTTAAAAGGTCTCTGCCCCTTCTTCCTTGGGTGAAATATTGTACTATTATAACTGCTTGTCAGTGTTGTGCCTCCAGTTTACATCAGAAGCCATACTTTTAGCCTAAACTTGTTAATCAAACCATTAATATTAGGAGTTCTACATCTGTTACTCAACAGCTTACTTCACTCAGTATTATATTTTAATTGTGGGAATGTTTACTCACAGGTGGATGAAGTTACTGCAAGACATCAAACAGTGCCGAACAACCTTTGATACTTCAGACACGAGACGCAGCTTTGGTCCTATTGTGGTGGATTACACAAAGGTTCAAAGCAAAGTGTCTCTGAAGTATGATTCATGGCACAAAGATGTTCTTAGCAAATTTGGTCAACTTCTTGGACAAGAGATGACACATTTCCATGCACAAGTATGTGTACTTTTTTGTATATGTCAGTGTGAGCAAATTAACTTTTCATCTATTTTTGGTAGATGTATGAATAGGTCACAAATATTTAATTTTATTAGGGCTATATTTTTAGTTCTCTTCCAGAAATATTATTGGAATAAGGAGTATGATAGGTTGCAATGGAAGGTAACATGATGAAAATACTTCTGTACTTTCTAAAATTATTCTAGTGTTCAGCCTTATGATGTACTTCGGATAAAATTTGCACTTTTTAAAATAAATTGTCTTGGCTAAAATGGGAAGAATGTAAATTCTTGAGTATGACAGAAGTGTACTATCTTCGAAATTCAATATCTGCTTGATCATTTTGTCATATGTTAGGCTTTGAGTTGTCTAGCACTTTCTGGCTGTGCTGGTTTTACCACAAAATGACCAAAAATTGCCAGTAATGTAGAATAAAGGAAAGATGGCAATTTCAAAATATTACTCAATATTCAGTAAGTGCAAAATGGAAAATCTTAATAGATTTATACTAAAATTTTTACTTTTTACAGGTATCAAAAAGTAGGAGTGAGCTGGAACAACAGAGCATTGATGCAGCTAGTACCTCTGATGCTGTAACACTCATCACATATGTACAATCATTGAAGCGCAAGATGAAATCCTGGGAGAAACACGTTGATATGTACAAAGAGGGCCAACGTATATTGGAGCGTCAAAGGTTCCAGTTCCCAAATCAGTGGCTTCATGTTGACAACATTGAAGGTGAATGGGGAGCCTTTAATGAGATCATTCGACGCAAAGATTCTAGCATTCAGACACAGGTGGCATCACTGCAACTGAAGATTGTTGCTGAAGACAAAGCTGTGGAATCCAGAACAAATGATTTCCTTCAAGACTGGGAGCATGGAAAACCTGTCGAAGGACACTTGCGTCCAGATGAGGCTCTGCAACGTCTCACACTGTACGAAAGTAAGTTTACACGATTAAAGGATGATCGTGATAATGTTGCCAAGGCCAAGGAAGCCTTGGAATTACAAGAACCAGGTGCTCTTAATACTTCGGAAGACCGAATGACAGTGGCATTTGAAGAACTTCAAGATCTTAAAGGTGTTTGGGCTGAGCTAGCTAAGATTTGGGAGCAGATTGATGAGATGAAAGAGAAGCCTTGGTTGTCAGTACAACCACGTAAGCTTCGAGCCCAGCTGGATCACCTCCTCACTCAGATGAAGGACTTGCCTGCTCGTTTGCGTCAGTATTCAAGCTACGAGTTTGTCAAGAGGCTTCTACAGGGTTACACCAAAGTAAACATGACTATTGTTGAATTGAAGAGTGATGCCCTCAAGGAAAGGCATTGGAAGACCTTGATGAAGCAGTTGCATGTCAACTGGGTGTTGAGTGACCTTACTTTGGGACAAGTTTGGGATGTTGACCTAATGAGGAATGAAGCTGTTATAAAGAATGTTATTATTACTGCTCAAGGAGAAATGGCATTGGAAGAGTTCCTCAAACAGGTGCGTGAATCTTGGCAGAGCTATGAGCTGGACCTCATCAACTATCAGAATAAATGTAAACTTATTCGAGGCTGGGATGACCTTTTCAATAAGGTCAAGGAGCACATAAATTCCGTGGCAGCCATGAAACTCTCTCCATACTACAGAGAGTTTGAGGAAGAAGCACTCACTTGGGAAGAAAAGCTGAATCGCATTAATGCAGTGTTTGACGTTTGGATTGATGTTCAGCGACGATGGGTGTATCTTGAGGGAATCTTCTCTGGCTCTTCGGACATCAAAGCCCTATTACCAGTAGAAACATCACGTTTTGGCAGTATTAGGTAAGTTTGGATGAGCTTTCATTGTTTGAAGGATATGTAGGAAATCTCCCCTTTCATTGTCATGGTTCATTTCCAGAAAAGGACCTATAATCAGGGCACAGTTTGGAAGGGTTCATTTTCCCACTGAATCTCATTATAATTGTGATTATAATGTAGCTGAAATGAATTTGGACCAGAGAATTGAGAACAATTTGCCAGAAAAGGTTTAAAATTCTACTTTGCACAATTTATGATACATTCATCGTGTAATACTGTAATGCAGTGAAAATAAAAGTACAGTACTATTGATTTTTTTTTTTTTTTTACATTGCATTGGAAGTATAGCCTTGGAGGAAATAAGTAGGGAATGTTTTTGGGAAAATTTATTTTTCATATGCTTCAAGAAAACTAAGACACTTAATTTTTCTATGCATTTAGCACAGAGTTCTTAAACCTGATGAAGAAGGTCAGTAAATCTCCTATGGTGATGGATGTGCTGAATATTCAAGGCGTTCAGCGTTCCTTAGAGCGTTTGGCAGATCTTCTGGGCAAAATTCAGAAGGCACTTGGAGAGTATTTAGAGCGAGAGAGGTCCTCATTCCCAAGGTAAGGTTTGTGTTTAAAAGGAATGAAATACATCATTTATCTACATAGCAGTGGTTTCTAAACTGTTGAAATGTATGAATGATTGTTTTATTTGTATTTTAACATGGCCTCATGAATGAAATCTTTGTACTTAAACAAGCCACACGTCGGAGACGAACTTATGATGTTTTGGTCACACTTGGTCCATTTACTATTCTGTGTGACTAATTAATGATCCAAATTGGACTGAAATGTAGTCATAAGTTTGTCTCCATGTAGGTATTTGTGTATTGTTCCACTCACGGTATTGTCTGTTTTATTCTTTGTGCTTAAATTACTTTCATTAGCTGTGGCTTCATATTGTAATTTGTCAAGGTAATATAGATCGATATTTGCAGTAGCTGGTTGGGGATGTTTGCTCATCTGTTCTTTATCCTACCCTTTCAGTTGTTACCCTGACCATATGTAAAATGTTTTCAGATTCTACTTTGTGGGAGATGAGGATTTGCTGGAAATCATTGGTAATAGCAAGAACATTCCTCGCCTTCAGAAGCACTTCAAGAAAATGTTTGCTGGTGTTACTGCTATCAACCTTGATGAAACTGAAACTATTGTCACTGGGATTGCTTCCCGTGAAGGTGAAATGGTAGGTAGTGTTTTTATGTTCACTGAATTTTTATTGTCTAGATTTGGATCAGTGATGAATAGACTAAAATGTAGTGAGAGCTTGGATGTAATAGGGATTTGCATAATTTTTTTTTTTTTTTCAGGTACCATTCAACAAGGTAGTTTCAACAGTGGACTATCCAAAAATCAATGAGTGGCTTAAGCAAGTGGAATATGAGATGCGCATGACACTTGCCCAAAATTTAGCAGCAGCTGTTGCAGATATCAAGCAGTTTAAACATGGTCCCATTGACACAGCAAGCTATCTTCAATGGTGTGACAAATATCAAGCACAACTTGTTGTATTGGCTGCGCAGATCTCTTGGAGTGAAGAGGTGAGTTAATTGCTGTTAAAATTAAATTAAGAGTAAGGTAAGGAATTTAAATGTAAATCATGCCTAAATCTTAGTGAGCATGGAGAAGTAAGAATTTAACTATATTGACATTTTGCTGTAGGGAGATTCTGAAGGATGAAAAGGAATTTAGCCTAGAATTATTAGGGAAGATTGAGGTACAAGTCAAAACTAAAGTATCATGTAAAAGGACACAAATGCATCTAATGTGACATTTTATTGTGGCAATGTTTCGCTCTCCAGGAGCTTTAGCAACAGCTTGATAAAGCTCCTGGAGAGTGAAATGTTGCCACAATAAAATGTCACATTAGTTACATTTGTGTCCTTTTACTTAACATATTGTCAGTAATTCTACCAATTTTTTTTTTTTTCAACAAGTCAGCCGTCTCCCACTGAGGCAGGGTGACCCAAAAAGAAAGAAAATCCCCAAAAAGAAAATACTTTCATCATCATTCAACACTTTCACCACACTCACACATAATCACTGTTTTTGCAGAGGTGCTCAGAACACAACAGTTTAGAAGCATATACGTATAAAGATACACAACATATCCCTCCAAACTGCTAATATCCCAAAACCCCTCCTTTAGAGTGCAGGCATTGTACTTCCCATTTCCAGGACTCGGGTCCGGCTATACAGTGGACCCCCGCATAACGATATTAATCCGTTCATGAGAGCTCATTGTTATGCGAAATTATCGTTATGCGAATGAATTTTCCCCATAAGAAATAATGGAAATCAAATTAATCCATGCAAGACACCCAAAAGTATGAAAAAAAAAATTTTACCACATGAAATATACATTTTCCTACACACAAAGAGAAGGGTACAAGCACAATAGTAGAGTAGTACATGCACAGTATATATTGTGCATGTACTACTCTACTAAATGAAGAATAAATGACACTTACCTTTATTGAAGATGCAGCAATGACTGATGAGACACTGTGTCCTGGGAGTGCCTTTTCCTCCTGAGTACTGTAGGTCCTGTTTGACATTTTCTTCCAGAACAGGCCTTATCACACTGTGTATGCCACTACGATTCTTAAATCTCTCAAACCAACCTTTGCTGGCTTTAAATTCACCAATATGAGCACTAGTTCCAGGCGTTTTTCCCTGTTCACCTGGGTGTTAGTCGACTGGTGTGGGTTGCATCTTGGGAGACAAGATTAAGGACCCCAATGGAAATAAGTTAGTCTTCGATGACACACTTTTTTTGGGTTATCCTGGGTGGCTAACCCTCTGGGGTTGATTGTTTCTTGGTATTCTCAATAAGCCACACCAACAACGGTGCTACAGCAGCAGCAGCAGCTGACAGTGCAACAGCAGCAGCAGACAATGCTACAGCAGCAGTAGACAATGCTACAGCAGCAGCAGACGGTACTACAACAGCAGCAGCAGCAGCTGACGGTGGTACAGCAGCAGCAGCTGACGGTGCTGCAGCAGCAGCAGCTGACGGTGCTACAGCAGCAGCAGCAGCAGCTGACGGTGCTACAGCAGCAGCAGCAGCAGCAGCTGACGGTGCTACAGCAGCAGCAGCAGCTGACAGTGCTACAGCAGCAGCAGACAATGCTACAGCAGCAGCAGATGATGCTACAGCAGCAGCAGACGGTACTACAGCAGCAGCAGCAGATGGTACTACTACAGCAGAAGCAGCAGCATCAGCTGACTGTGCTACAGCAGCAGCAGCAGCTGACTGTGCTACAGCAGCAGCAGCAGCTGACTGTGCTACAGCAGCAGCAGCAGCAGCAGCAGCTGACAGTGCTACAGCAGCAGCAGCATCAGCAGTTGACCATGGTACCACAGTATTTCGATAATATTTCTCACCCTTTTTACCACAGGGTTGGCACTAGAAGCTTTCTTGGGGCCCATGGTCACTTATTTTGCAGATAAAATCACCAAAACCACTGTAATAATACGAAATGTTACGATTGTATGCTTGGATGTTACCGCGGAGGCTGGCTTGTAAACAATGCCACCGGCGGAACATGTGAGGCTGGCTCAGGCCGCACATTAGACGCGTCTCGGACGAACAGCGTTGAGCGGGTTTTTTAGCGGTATGCGAGGCAAAATCTTAGCGATAAAATGTATCGGTATGCAGATTTAATGTTATGTAAGGCCAACGGTATGCGGGGGTCCACTGTATAAAAATAACCTGTTTCCCTGAATCCCTTCACTAAATATTACCCTGCTCACACTCCAACAGATCGTCAGGTCCCAAATACCATTCATCTCCATTCACTCCTATCGAACACGCTGATGCACGCATGCTGGAAGTCCAAGCCCCTCGCCCACAAAACCTCCCTTACCCCTTCCTTCTAACTTTTTCGAGGACGACCCCTACCCCGCCTTCCTTCTCCTACAGATTTAAATGCTCTCCATGTCAATCTACTTTGATCCATTCTCTCTAAATGACCAAACCACCTCAACAACCCCTCTTCAGCCCTCTGACTAATGCTTTTATTAACTTCACACCTTCTCCTAATTTCCACACTTCGAATTTTCTGCATAATATTTACACCACACATTGCCCTTAGACAGGACATCTCCTCTGCCTCCAACCACCACCTCGCTGCTGCATTCACAACCCAAGCTTCACACCCATATAAGATTGTTGGTACTACTATACTTTCATACATTCCCTTCTTTGCCTCCATAGATAACGTTTTTTGACTCCACATATACCTCGACACACCACTCGCCTTTTTTCCTTCATCAATTCTATGATTAACCTCATCCTTCATAAATCCATCCGCCGACACGTCAACTCCCAAGTATCTGAAAACATTCACTTCTTCCATACTCCTCCTCCCCAATTTGATATCCAGTTTTTCTTTATCTAAATCATTTGATACCCTCATCACCTTACTCTTTTCTATGTTCACTTTCAGCTTTCTACCTTGACACACACTCCCAAACTCATGCACTAACCTTTGCAGTTTTTCTTGAGAATCTCCCATAAGCACAGTATCATCAGCAAAAAGTAACTGTATCAATTCCCATTTTGTATTTGATTCCCCATAATTTAATCCCACCCCTCTCCCGAACACCCTAGCATTTACTTTTACAACCCCATCTATAAATATATTAAACAACCATGGTGACATTACACATCCCTGTCTAAGACCTACTTTCTGGGAAGTAGTCTCCCTCTCTTCTACACACCCTAACCTGAGCCTCACTATCCTCATAGAACCCCTTTACAGCATTTAGTAACTTACACCTATTCCATATACTTGCATCATCTGCCACATTTCTCCCCTATCCACTCTATCATATGCCTTTTCTAAATCCATAAATGCAATAAAATCTTCCCTACCTTTATCTAAATACTGTTCACATATATGCTTCAATGTTGTTAGGTAAGACACATATGCAACAGTTAGGTATCTTTATTATGAAACGTTTCGCCTACACAGTAGGCTTCTTCAGTCAAGTACAGAAAAGTTGATAGAAGCAGAAGATACTTGAAGACGATGTAATCAGTCCATCACCCTTAAAGTTTTGAGGTGGTCAGTCCCTCAGTCTGGAGAAGAGCATTGTTCCATAGTATGAAACAATACCTAACTGTTGCATATGTGTCTTACCTAACAACCTGTCGGTATTTTATACCATTTTAATGTTCAATGCTTCAATGTAAACACTTGATCTACACATCCCCTACCCACTCTGAAACCTCCTTTCTCATCTGCAATCCTACATTCTGTCTTACCTCTAATTCTTTCAGTAATAACCCTACCGTACGCTTTTCCTGGTATACTCAATAAACTTATTCCTCTATAATTTTTACAATCTCTTTTGTCCCCCTTCCCTTTATATAAAGGGACTATTCATGCTCTCCGCCAATCCCTAGGTACCTTCCCCTCTTTCATACATTTATTAAACAAAAGTACCAACCACTCCAACACTATATCCCCCCCTGCTTTTAACATTTCTATCATGATCCCATCAGTTTTAGCTGCTTTACCCCCTTTCATTCTACGTAATGCCTCGCGTACCTCCCCCACACTTACATTCTGCTCTTCTTCACTCCTAAAAGATGGTATACCTCCCTGGCCAGTGCATGAAATTACCGCCTCCCTTTCTTCCTCAACATTTAAAAGTTCCTCAAAATATTCTCGCCATCTACCTAATACTTCCCTCTCCCCATCTACTAACTCCCCTACTCTGTTTTTAACTGACAAATCCATACGTTCCCTAGGCTTTCTTTCTACCAATATTAATGCATAAAGTATCACAACTGATGATTTCTGGTGATAATTCTGGCAAGTTCCATAAAGTACATGTGGCTAGAGACATGTTTATAAAATCTGTGTAACCCCAATAGTCTCCTTAATCTTTTCAACCAAATACGGTCTGAAGTTGGAGTAATACAGTAGTTCCTTTTTGAAAATTGTACCTTGGGCCAAGACGTGCCAAGTATTCTTTCTGTCACCTTTAACCCTTTGACTGTTTCGGTCGTGTATATATACGTCTTATGAGGTACCGTGTTTGACGTATGTATACTCATAAATTCTGGCGGCTTCAAATCAAGCAGGAGAAAGCTGGTAGGCCCACATGTGAGAGAATGGGTCTGTGTGGTCAGTGTGCACCATATAAAAAAAATCCTGGAGCACACAGTGCGTAATTAGAAAAAAAAAACTCCAACCGTTTTTTTTTTTTAATTAAAATGCCAAGTTTGTGGTCTATTTTTGTATAGTATTTATGGTTGTATTCTCGTTTTCTTGGTCTCATTTGGTAGAATGGTAAACATACTATAGAAATAGAGGTGATTTTGATTGGTTTTACTATAAAAAGAACCTAGGGGAAATGTTTGATTTTTGCCGATGTTCAAAAGTAAACAAATGATATCATTGTCCAATAAATGTCCAACTAGCCATTCTAATATACAGTCATGAATAGGTTGACATTATTTGTACAATTATTACAGTATTGCAGTAGTCTGCATAACAGTAAATCTTCTATTTTTTGTTTGAATAAAAATTCAAAATAGAAAGCAAGAGTAATATCAGAGGGGCCTGGAGATATGACTGATGGACAAAGAAAATGTTATTTTAGAGCCAGGAATGTCTGCATTGTTCATTCTGGGTCTTACTTTGAAATTGTCATATTTTTTAATTTTTGTGAAATTGGCCAAATTGCAAATTTCTGGCCATGTTATTGGGTAGTTGAAATCAGTAAATGGGCACTTTCTTGTACTCAGTCGATAGAAAAACGGAGTTCTAAAGAAATAGCTATGATTTTGGTTGACTGGAACAATGGAATTAGCCTAAAATAGGGCTCAAAGTGGGCAAAATCGCCGATTTGTAAATATCGTCCAGGTTGCTAACTTCGCGAGAGTGTAATTCCATCAATTTTCCATCAAATTTCGTTTTTTTTGGTGTCATTACAATCAGGAAACATTTCCTAAGATTTTTTTTTTTTTTTGGGGGGGGGGGGGGTGTTACGACAGTCAAGGGGTTAAGAACGTAGTGCTAGAGTACACAGCAGAAGTTTGTAGTTGTAAGAGAGGTGGGTGTGGGGTGAAAGAGCAGAACGACAATGTTAAGGTGATAAGGGAGAAAGTGCGTGAATATGGATCTGTGGGCTTTAGGCAGTAACAGCCTGAATATTAGGTGGTCAGTCACCTAGAAATGCACTTGCTAGGTTTTGAAAAAAGACTGACCCTATCACAGTTGTCAGATATTGATAGAATCTTGTTTTGCAGTGTTATATAATTGTTGCTGAACATTAAAATACCAAAGAATACTGTACCTTTTTAATATTGCAGGTGGAAGCTGGGCTGTCTGCAGCTGCTAATGGTGACATGGGTCCCTTACAACAGACATTGGCACAGGTTGAAGCAACTCTGACTGTATTGGCAGACTCTGTTCTCCAGGAACAGCCTCTCCTGAGGCGCAAAAAATTAGAGCACTTGGTCAGTTGAAGAAAACTGTAGTTTAAGCTCAGTAGCTTAGCATATTTTTTGTGTGAGGGATGAGAGAAAATGTACCTGAATAAATTGCCTAAAGCTATAGTTGCATAAATTTTCTTATATTTTTAAGGAAATTGACAGTAGGTCTGAGATACTCTTAAGCACTGAAATTTATACTTATAAAATTCCTTTAGACATAAATTCTTACATGCCTCTTTACTCCCTAATTTAAATTAAAAATTAAGGTTCATGCTTCTTTTTTTTTTCGGCATCAGTGGAGGGTAATGTGGCAACAGTGTGTTTGGTTAATAATAGACAGTATTCATTGCATGTTCATTTAAAATTTAATAGCAGCTTAATTTTTAACTTGTATGAAATCTAGTGATAGTGATTTACTTAAATTTGTCATATTTTTTTTCTTCAGATAAGTGAATTTGTTCACAAGAGGACTGTAACTAGAAATCTGATCAAGAATAAAGTGGTGAATCCCAAGTCATTTGATTGGCTATGCCAGATGAGATTCTACTTCGACCCCAAGCAAAATGATCCTCTAAAGCAACTGAGCATCCATATGGCCAATGCAAAATTCAACTATGGATTTGAGTACCTAGGTGTACAGGATAAACTTGTACAGACACCACTAACAGATCGTTGCTATCTCACCATGACACAAGCTCTTGAAGCCCGTTTAGGAGGCTCACCCTTTGGTAATTTACAAGTTTTTTTCTTTTTAAATTTTTATTTAGTCTTAGTTTTGGGTGAAACGCTTCAAAACTTTGCTTTTATAATCGTGACCACGAATGATGTTCATGTCTTTAGGGGTCATGGGATTGAAGGTCAATATGGCAGTGTTTTTTATGCTTTGTATGGTTTCTTGTAAATCATTAATCTGTTTGGTTATCTGTAAATTCTCGAAGCACTTTGTCAATCTATCAGCTTCCTGCAAAATCAAGTGGGTAATTGAAAACTTGCTTGCCTTGTGAGACAGTGCTACAAGATGTCTGTGTATCATTCTAACATTTTCTTTGCAGGACCTGCTGGCACAGGCAAAACAGAATCTGTTAAGGCACTTGGCAACCAGCTTGGTCGCTTTGTGCTAGTCTTCAACTGTGATGAGACCTTCGACTTCCAAGCAATGGGGCGCATCTTTGTTGGGCTTTGCCAGGTAAATTTTCTTTGTGCTTGTACAGCTGTATTTGTTGTCTGCAAATCTGTCATAATTTACATTTCTAAAAATTATACTGGGCTTCACTTTTAAAAATTGTTGATGCATGTACTGTGTATTTAACTAGGTTGGAGCTTGGGGATGCTTCGATGAGTTCAACCGTTTGGAGGAGAGAATGTTATCAGCCGTGTCCCAGCAAATACAGACTATACAAGAAGCATTAAAAGACAAAGCTGGAGAAAAATCTGGGTCCCAGGGTTAGTTACATTATTCATATAAGTTTTTTTTTTTTTTTTTTTTTTTTTCTCTCAACAAGTCGGCCGTCTCCCACCGAGGCAGGGTGACCCAAAAAAGAAAGAAAATCCCCAAAAAGAAAATACTTTCATCATCATTCAACACTTTCACCACCTCGAAATTATCACTGTTTTCAGAGTGCCAGAATACAACATTAGAAGCATACACATAAAAGATACACAACAATCCCTCCAACTGCCAATACCCAAACCCCTCCTTAAAGTGCAGAAATTGTACTTCCTTTTCCGGGACTAAAGTCCCAAAATTTGAAAATAACTGGTTTCCCCCTGAATTTTTTTTTTTTTTTTTTTTCAACAGTCGCCTCCCCCCACCGAGCAGGTGACCCAAAAAGAAAGAAAATCCCCAAAAATAAAATACTTTCATCACATCACACTTTCACCACACTCCACTTATCACTGTTTTTTGCAGAGGTGCTCAGAAATACAACAGTCTAGAAGCATACACATAAAAGAACACAACATATCCCTCCAAAATCCAAATCCCAACCCCCCCTTTAAAGTGCAGGCATTGTACTTCCCATTCCCAGACTCAAGTCCGACTATAAAAATAACCGGTTTCCCTGAATCCTTCACTAAATATTCCCTGCCCATCATCCAACAGATCGTCAGTCCCAAGTACCATTCCCGACCCTTTAAACATCCTAACTAACACCTCACGCACGCTTGCTGAAAAGTCCAAGCCCCTTGCCCACAAAACCTCCTTACCCCCTCTCTCCAACCCTTTCGAGGACGACCCCTACCCCGCCTTCCTTCCCTATTGATTTATATGCTTTCCATGTCATTCTACTTTGATCCATTCTCTCTAAATGACCAAACCACCTCAACAACCCCTCTTCTGCCCTCTGACTAATACTTTTATTAACTCCACACCTTCTCCTAATTTCCACACTCCGAATTTTCTGCATAATATTTACACCACACATTGCCCTTAACAGGACATCTCCACTGCCTCCAACCGTCTCCTCGCTGCTGCATTTACCACCCAAGCTTCACACCCATATAAGAGTGTTGGTACTACTAACTTTCATACATTCCCTTCTTTCCCTCCATAGATAACGTTTTTTGACTCCACATATACCTCAACGCACCACTCACCTTTTTTCCCTCATCAATTCTATGATTAACCTCACCCTTCATAAATCCATCCGCCGACACGTCAACTCCAAGTATCTGAAAAATTCACTTCTTCCATTACTCCTCCTCCCAATTTGTTTATCCAATTTTTCTTTATCTAAATCATTTGACACCCATCACCTTACTCTTTTCTATGTTCATTTTCAACTTTCTACCTTTACACCATTCCCAAACTCATCCACTAACCTTTGCAATTTTTCTTTAGAATCTCCCATAAGCACAGATCATCAGCAAAAGTAACTGTGCCCAATTCCCATTTTGAATTTGATTCCCCAAAATTTAATCCCACCCCTCTCCCGAACACCCTAGCATTTACTTCCTTTACAACCCCATCTATAAATATATTAAACAACCATGGGACATTAACACATCCCTGTTAAGACCTACTTTTACCGGGAAGTAGTCTCCCTCTCTTCTAAAACACCCAAAACCTGAGCCTCACTATCCTCATAAAAACTCTTTACAAGCATTTAATAACTTACCACCTTTTCCCATATACTTGCAACTCTGCCACATTGCTCCTCTATCCACTCTATCATATGCCTTTTCTAAATCCATAAATGCAATAAAAACTCCCTACCTTTATCTAAATACTGTTAAAATATATGCTTCAATGTAAACACTTGATCTACACATCCCCTACCCACTCTGAAACCTCCTTGCTCATCCGCAATCCTACATTCTGTCTTACCTCTAATTCTTTCAATTATAACCCTACCGTACACTTTTCCTGGTATACTCAGTAAGCTTATTCCTCTATAATTTTTAGTCTCTTTTGTCCCCTTTCCCTTTATATAAAGGGACTATACATGCTCTCCGCCATACACAAATAACCCGCACATAAAAGACAGAAGCTTACGACGACGTTTCGGTCCGACTTGGACCATTGAAAAAGGGCACACTAACAGAGGAGGAGGAGGACGGCTATATATAGGCAGGAAGAGGTGGAGGTAGTAGTAGTGGTAGTAGTAGTAGTAGTAGTAGTAGTACAAGAATTGTATATAATACCTGTCGGTATTATATACAATTCTGTACTACTACTCTACTTTTTACTAACCACTACTACTACCTCCACCTCTTCCTGCCTATATATAGCCGTCCTCCTCCTCCTCTGTTAGTGTGACTTTGTCAATGGTCCAAGTCGGACCGAAACGTCGTCGTAAGCTTCTGTCTTTTATGTGCGGGTTATTTGTGTATCGTTCCAGTCACGGTATTGTGCCTTTTTGTTATTTATTTATGGACTCCGCCAATCCCTAGGTACCTTCCCCTCTTTCATACATTTATTAAACAGAAGTACCAACCACTCCAACACTATATCCCCCCCCTGCTTTTAACATTTCTGTCATGATCCCATCAGTTCCAGCTGCTTTACCCCCCCTTTTATTTTACGTAATGCCTCACGTCCTCCCCACACTTACATTTTTGCTCTTCTTCACTCCTAAAAGATGGTATACCTCCCTGACCAATGCATGAAATTACTGCTTCTGTTTCTTCCTCAACATTTAAAAGTTCCTCAAAATATTCTCGCCATCTACCCAATACCTCCATCTCCCCATCTACTAACTCCCCTACTCTGTTTTTAACTGACAAATCCATATTTTCCCTAGGGTTTCTTAACTTGTTTAACTCACTCCAAAATTTTTTCTTATTTTCATTAAAATTTCTTGACAGTGCTCTCCCACTCTATCATCTGCTCTCCTTTGCACTCTCTCACCACTCTCTTTACCTTTCTTTTACTCTCCATATACTTGCTCTTCTTATAACACTTTCTGCTTTGTAAAAACCTCTCATAAGCTACCCTTTTTTTCTTTTATCACACCCTTTACTTCATCATTCCACCAATCACTCCTCTTTCCCCCTGCTCCCACCCTCCTATAACCACAAACTTCTGCCCCACATTCTAATACTGCATTTTTAAAACTATTCCAACCCTCTTCAAACCCCCCCCCTACTCATCTTTGCACTAGCCCACCTTTCTGCCAATAGTCGCTTATATCTCACCCGAACTTCCTCTCCCTTAGTTTATACACTTTCACCTCCCTCTTACTTGTTGTTGCCACCCTTTCCCCTTTTCCCATCTACCTCTTACTCTAACTGTAGCTACAACTAAATAATGATCCGATATATCAGTTGCCCCTCTATAAAAATGTACATCCTGGAGCCTACCCATCAACCTTTTATCCACCAATACGTAACTAATAAACTACTTTTTATTACGTGCTACATCATACCTTGTATATTTATTTATCCTCTTTTTCATAAAAATGTATTACTTATTACCAAATTTCTTTCTACACATAGCTCAATTAAAGGCTCCCCATTTACATTTTTCCCCCGGGACCCCAAATTTACCTACTACTCCCTCCATAACATTTTTAACCCCCCCTTTTGCATTGAAATCCCCAACCACCATTACTCTCACACTTTATTCAAAACTTCCCCCCGCATTCACTCAACAAATTTTCCCAAAAACTCTCTCTCTCTCCTCTACACTTCTCTCTTCTCCAGGTGCTACACGTTATTATAACCCACTTTTCACATCCAATCTTTATTTTACTCCACTAATCCTTGAATAATACATTTATAGTCCCTCTTTTTCCTGCCATAGCTTATCCTTCAACATTATTTCTACTCCTTCTTTAGCTCTAACTCTATTTGAAACCCCTGACTAATCCCATTTATTCCTTCCACTGAAAACTCTCCCCTCCCCTTCAGCTTTGTTTCACTTAAAGCCAGGACATCCAGCTTCTTCTCATTCATAACATCCACAATCATCGCTTTCTTATCATCTGCACAACATCCACGCACATTCAGACTTCCCACTTTGACAATTTTCTTCTTCTTATTCTTTTTAGTAATCTTTACAGGAAAAGGGTTACTAGCCCATTGTTCCCGGCATTTTAGTTGACTTTTACAACACGCATGGCTTACGGAGGAAAGATTCTTATTCCACTTCCCCATGGATATAAAAGGAAAATTAATAAGACCAAGAACTATTAAGATAAAATCAAAGAAAACTCAGATGAGTGTGTATAAATAAATGTGTACATGTATGTGTAGTGTGACCTAAGTGTAAGTAGAAGTAGCAAGACATGCCTGTAATCTTGCATATTTATGAGACAGACAAAAGACATCAGCAATCCTACCATCATGTAAAACAATCACAGGCTTTCGTTTTACACTCACTTGGCAGGACGGTAGTACCTCCCTGGGTGGTTGCTGTCTACCAACCTACTACCAAGGGATTCCCTGAATCCCTTCACTAAATATTACCCTGCTCACACTCCAACAGATCGTCAGGTCCCAAGTACCATTCGTCTCCATTCACTCCTATCTAACACGCTCACGCACGCTTGCTGGAAGTCCAAGCCCCTTGCCCACAAAACCTCCTTTACCCCCTCTCTCCAACCCTTTCGAGGACGACCCCTACCCCGCCTTCCTTCCCCTATAGATTTATATGCTTTCCATGTCTTCTACTTTGATCCATTTTTCTCTAATGACCAAACCACCTCAACAACCCCTCTTCTGCCCTCTGACTAATACTTTTTTTAACTCCACACCTTTTCCTAATTTCCACACTCTGAATTTTTCTGCATAATATTTACCACCACACATTGCCCTTAAACAGGACATCCCACTGCCTCCAACGTCTCCTCGCTGCTGCTTTACCACCCCAAACTTCACACCCATGTAAGAGTGTTTGGTACTACTATACTTCATACATTCCCTTCTTTGCCTCCTAAAAAAACAAATTTTTTTACTCCACATATACCTCAATGCACCACTCACTTTTTTTCCCTCGGGCAATT